CAAATTCAATTCTGTTGGTCTTATTTTCATCTCTGTTCTTTTCAGAGACGCGAAATTGTTCTTCCAGTAAAACCAGGCCACTGCGCCCCGGGAAGAGTGCTGTCCTTGATAATAGAAGCCATTTAGGTTGGAGGTATAACAACTGCGATACCACCAGGCTCCGTGCTGGATTTCACTTGCTCTTTCACAACACCATTTGGATTGACAATTGACAATTCAAGTGATAATTTCAAAGAAAACTTTAAAAGAACTTATTTTAACAATACTGATATGTCACAAAAAAATCTTGATTTGAATGTGGAGATGCATCTTCGAGAAACGCAGAGAGGTGTGAAAAGCTTAAAAAAAGATTTTCAAAAATAATGATAATACTGATAATGATAATGGTGTAAATAATTATGATAGCAATAACAGTGATAATTAATGACAATGAAATTGATGATGATATTGACATTGATGGCGAATACACTTCCAGTAGTTACTCACCAGCTTGTTTCTCAGAGTGTGCTTTAAAGTCTGAAGAAGAGGTTGGGCCGTCAAATGTAACAACTATTATAAAAAAAGCTCGTATTTTTGTCCCACTGGACATGATCGATCAGTGAATACCTTTACATAGTGCGCTGTCGAAATTATACATCGATGTGGTTGAGATTATTTGTTATTTTTGTTTGGTTTGTTTTTTTGTTGTTTGGTCATACAATACATCAAAGGCAGGCAAATCATCAATTTTAATGATGTACACAGCGTCTCCTCTTCCCCAACTTTGTAAATGTCAGCACAGTTTTTCTTTAGAGCTGTGAATGAACGACAAACTTTTCAGGTTTATGTCCTACACATCATTCGTCCTTTTACTGGTTTCATTTCAAAACAGACGGATTTTGTTACCACCGTTAATAGACGTATTTTTGCTCTCTCTTCTGTAAAATAGTTTCTTTGATCCAATGTGACGCAGAAACAGTCTCAGGTTGTTGATACAAGAACCTTAAACATTGTGATACAAGAACCTGGGCTTTCGTCCTAGACAACTTACAAAATGTATTCCGAGTTTCGGTATGACGTGTTCATTAATTCATCTTTAGTGGATCATAGACTTTCCAAGAAGTCAGATTTGATGAATTTCCATATCCCCTTAAATGATCCGAAATACCGGTAAGTCAATTAATTATCTAAATGAAAAAACAGTCTCTCCACTGTGAATATATAATTCAACTAACCCAAGAGGATTAGTGAATGAAAACACCATTTGTACTGTTTAGCTTTGAACTGGCAGTTATCTCCACTGAATCCATGACGACAAACGCAACGAAAACCTTTATTGGTGAATCTAGCTTGACAGGTGCCATTGTTCAAACATGAGCTGCTACTGCATGGATTCTGTTAGGAAAAAAAAAGGTTAAGACCTCAGCCTAAAAAATGCAACAATTTCATTTGTGTGTGACTCCCCTCAGTTTGATAAGAAGGTGCAATTTACTTCGATTTCAAGATATGTATAGCCTTCTTTATTCACAAGAAGAAAGGGAGCATGGTTTTTCTCGGTTGCGTTATTCAACTCGCATTGTTGGTTTCCTCCTTCTACTAATCCAATATAGATTGACACACAGTTAGGCTCCATATAACACATCACTCTGCAGCTACCTTCACTGGACACTTCTGCACTCCTCATCACGTGATTTCTCACGGCCATGTTTGGTATTGGGTCCCAAAGTATGATGTTTCGACAATCATCACCTGTGCGAGAGAAAACGAATCAACCTAATTGTTTAGTTTTCACTTACTGGCGCTAATTTCTTATTTTGACTCACACACCACTGTTCCATTAAATTACTGTTCCACGGCATGTTTGTGTTGAATTCCACCTGTACTGAACAGTCATTTATAGTGGGATCACTCAAACAAAACAAAGAATAATCGTTCAACTAAACTTTAAGCCATATTTGTCCCGCAATCCTTAATTTTGGTAATATTTTGAGCGAGTTTGGTGCATCAATTGGTCAATTATGGCATAAAATGACGCATGTCTCGTTTCTGTATAATTCCCCTATTTCGTGGAACCTGTATTTAGCGTTCAACCCGTATTAAGTGGTCATCAAGCCATTCCCCATGGGTGACCGCTTATTACAGGTCTGAATGTACCTTGTTGCATGAAAACCTTACATTGTCTTCTCTTAAGGGGGTTTTCATCCCTTGAAAATTCAATTTTAAGTGATTGGTTTTCATTTCAAAATTTAATCTCTGTGGGTGAATTAACCTATGGCAAAGAAATGTTACGGACAATTATGGGAATATTTTCAAAGCGTTAATAACCGCACCACAATACATTTGAATGGTTTGTTTTAATTCATGAATTTGCTCCTTTTATGTGCGTATTGTGAGGAGGGCTTTTTGCAAACACGATGAAGAAACACGTTGTCTAATGGTCTGCAATATAAATATATGTTTTGTAGCTTGTTTAGTTTTCATCGTTATTTGTTTCTTGTATTCCGGATAATAGGAGACATTGTGAATTAGATTAGGTGTATCTGCTTAGAGATTTTGGCTTTGATCATAAGTACTAGCAGTGGCGCTAAAAAAATAAGACAAAAAAAGTTAAAAGCGGAATTATACTCATGATCACCTGTGCAACAACACGGCGTGAAGATTTTTCCAAGAAAATTATTGAGATTGTCAATAATAACCTCAAGGATAAACTTCAAGTGCATTGATATAAATTGAAAAAATCAAGTTTCAAGGTAAAAAAAAGTGGCTATATCAAATTTGTCCTGAGTAATTAAACATTCTGTTTCCTATGAATTTGAATGTGCAGGCCTTCAGCATTTATCCTCAGCTATTTCTGCTTCACAGAAATCTTAATTATCACGATATTTCGAAAACGAGTACTTCATTTAGTTATATTATCGCAAGTATCGACGTCATCATGATGACGGGCTTTTTCATTTCCTCACGTGAAAAATGGAAGCTTAGTGGAACTTCTCGCTATGAAATATTTATCTAGGTGAGTAAGTTAACCGCTGCAAAAGGCATAAGAAGAAAAAAATAACGGATCCGTAGAAATTACAAGTCATGTAAACCCTATTAAATTATCAATTTTCGACTCCACTCTCCCAATTTATCGTTAGGTTAGTCACAATATTTTAAAAAGTTTCGGTTAAAACGGAAATGGAATACATTATGCTTACGACATAAGTTTAAAGTTGTTGTCATCTTTAGCCTTTGTTTTGCCTTTCAGCAATAAGTGAGCGTAAATTATTTTACACTCGATTTTTCTCCATTGATCAAAACATGTGATAAATGTCAAAGAGACGTCCCCGAAAGTTTGCTTCAGTATTTTTGTGGCTCTGTCTGTCAGTCTACAAGCAGACAGAGTTGGTATGCAGGCCAAATAAATTTTTGCCGTTCGTATTAAACAGACATGCTACCAATGAAATGTTAGTTGGCATTTGAAATTCAAAGTTTAATTATTTTTCTTTTTTATAAAGTAACCAACCTCTCCAGTACGACGTAATAGAATCCTTCGTTATATACATAAAAATAATAAGTTTCTGGCAACTTTGACCGTAAGAATGCGATAGAATGTACTGAATTGTTAATTGGTTAGATTCTCGGCATATTATTCAGAATTTTTCAAAATTATATCTGCCATTAACAAAACTGGTCAAAGCGATATTAATAAGTAGCTCAAAAAGATATTTCTTACCTTCTGATCAATAATATGTTTTTCGTAGTTTGATTCCGTGTTTGCTTCGTATCAGGAGTGAAATCGTGTCTTATTAACCTCTACAGAAGTTTTTGAAGTGTTGTCACTATGGTTACAAAGCATAACGGTTTGTTTTGCTTTTTGCTGTTCAGCTGTAGAGTTTGGCAGAAAGTTGGAGGATTCCATTTCCAATTCTCCCTGCGATCCCCTTCTCTACGATCCTAATTTGCTAATTTAGACGCACAAACTACTCATTCTGCGTATGGCATTATTACACTATGTACATGTTCTGATGAACCCTATCTCGTCTTACCTATTACAATGAGCATATCAAGCACGCTCAAATCGTGACCAGCAGAGGTAACTCTGCATTGGATAAGGGACATTTTCATTTTGATAGCGTTGTTATGTCACAAAAGAGTGCGTAATTGTTTTGCTCCCGTTCTGATGATGAAAATAGGAAACCAGAAACTAAAAATTATATACTAGAAATATTATCTATGAGTGTCCTGGAAAGAATGATGGCTACATGTTTAAAAAATTCGCTTTTTGTCTCCTTAAGCTAGTAAAAATCCGAGACCAAACATTAAAAAATTAGAGCACGTATTACCCAGAGAGAAAACTTAATCCTCTACTGGGTACCGCGGGGCTTGTATCTGGGTTTATCACCCTGACGTTTTGCTAAGTCAGGCAATGAAACTGAACAAAATGTTTCACATTAGCAATGTTTCCTTCGCGTGGTGCATACACCATGTGTAACTCAATGAAGTATGTTGTAATACAAAACGAGTTGATACTACATAATACGAATGAAACGTCAGAGACATCGTAAACAAAATCCTTATCGGTTGAATGATCTATTCTACTGATTCAACTTTTCAAGTCCTGATTTGAAAAACGTAGCAAGGACCACAATCAATTCCCCAGAAGCTTCCAAGAGAAATTATAAAGGATTATACTCACACAGAAGCAAACAGAAGTCTAAACAAGCTTGAAAGATTAAAACGGTAGGTACCAACTTATTGGTGATTATTTAGTACTGAGCATAAATTCATACTAGGCCGACAGGGTTACCCTACCTAGCGGACTAGGCGGATTACCCCACCTATAATGCAAACGTGATCAAGATGAAATAAGAGATTACATGGACAGCGAGGTTATATTTACCCCACCTAAGCGGGTTACCTCCGATCACCTACCTGAAGCCCCCCACCTCTGCATAAACAGGCCCTAGTCAGTTATTAGTTAATACAGAACAAAAATTCAAACATAATTGAGTCGTTGGTTTTGCATTAAAAAAGATAGTTCAGAAATCCACAGGTCTTATTTTCATCTCGGTTCTCTTGAGGGAGTAATGCCGCCCTGTCCAGTCCAACCAATTCACGCCATCAGCAAAAGAGGAATGCTGACCGCCATAATAAAACCCATTCAGATTCGAGTGCTGGCATTTATTGTACCACCAGGCTCCTTTGTACTTAATGGCGCAGTTATCAGCATGTTTATCATTATCTTGATCTCTTGTGGTGAATGGCATATTCCGATGCAAAGCGAGAGAGTCACCAGCATTTCCTGACAAAGTGAACAATGTTATTAACATTCACAATTAACATTACAAATCAAAATTTTATACGGCCTATAGTAAACCGTTAAATGAGTAAAACAGATCAATTAAGCGATAATAAAATTAATAAAAAAATATATCTGTGAAATGAATTGATTCATGTAGTAATGCTTATAGGTATATTCGTCGAGATACTTAAAAAGGCTTTTATTCAAATTTGATCATTGTCTGGTGTACGCCGTCCAGGATTGCATGTTGATGAGCCGACTGAGGTTTTAGTGATTCATTTTTTTTCGTCCATTGCAAGCTATCGATGTAAAATGATTTAACCATTTTTTCGGAAATTCGTACTTCCCCATAACGGCAGCATCAGCTTAACGCGTTTAACCGAAACCACCTTTTATTTCCCCACGCTCGATCATTCTTCTCTATTTGTTCGAGCCCTTGAGTTTACTAACATACTGATTTTAACACTACCACTCCCTTCTTAATCTAAAAATAAAAAACTTTTTGTTTCACCTGAATAATCACCAAGGGTCATCTTGTACATGTCATTCTCACTCATAACACCAAACTTGGAATACTCGGCATAACGAGTATTCCCTTCAAAGTCTTCCAAATCCACACGTAGCATGTTGTTATCATCTGAAGTCAGGCGGTGAATCTTGTCCAATCCCAACCAAAATTCACCATTCAGGTCACCAAAGCCATGTTTGTAATCGATCCAGTTAACGTAGAAATCAACCGAGCCGTTCAGTCTCTTCTGAAACACAGTCCATCCTCCACCCAGCGTCGTTTGGTCACACAATACCTCAAAGGCTTGCAAATTATCAGTCCTAATAGTGTACATACCATCTTCTCTTTCCCCAGCTTTGTAAATGTCGGCACAATTTTTTTTTAGAGCTGTGAATAAATGAGAAAATTGTCAGGTTTGATGTCTAACACATCACCTGTCCTTTTGTATCATAATTCCAATGCATTTTCATTTAGCTGCAAAAGAAAGTAATACTGTTTTTTTCTGTAGAACTAAAATTATTCCAAGGATTCTCCCTTCATTATTTCTCAACGAGAAAAAAAACGTAGATTTCATCTGGCTCTTAAATGTTTACATCTTTTAAAACGCCTTTTTGTTGCCATGAAACCAGTATTTAAGAATTAGAAAAAACTGAAAGATATACATTTTTTTATAACCGTAAATTGTGTTTTTTACTCTCTTTTCTGTAAAATGCGTTCTTTAATCCAATGCAACATAGAAATACAAGATGATACTTGAACATGAACCTTAAAAATTAGGGCTTGTGTCCTACACAACTTATAGGATCTATTCGGAGTTTGGGTATGACGCGTTCATTAATTCGTCTTCAGTGGATAATTGATTGTCTAGGGAGTCAAATTTGATGAATTTCCAAATCCCCTCAAATGAACCGCAATGAACCAATTACTTCGAACAAAAACAGTAGATCAACGTAAGAAGCTAAGTAAATGAAAAGGCAGATTTAACCTTGGCAGTTTTCTCCAGTAAATCCATCGCGACAAACACAACGAAAACCTTTACTGGTGAATCCAGCTTGACAGGTGCCATTGTTCAAACACGAGCTGCTGCTGCATGGATTCTGTTGGCAAAAACAAAAGTTAAAAAAGTGGAGGCTGCTTTTGCCTAAAAATTGAAACAAATTCATCTGTGTCTGACTTCCCTCAGTTTGATAAGAATGTCAGATTTACCTCGATTGCAAGATATGTGTAACCTTCTTTATTCACAAGAAGAAATGGAGCTTGGTTTTTCTCGGTTGCGTTATTCAACTCGCAGTTTTGGTTTTCTCCCTCTACTGGTCCAATATTGATGGACACACAATTAGGCTCCATATAACACATCAACCTGCAGCTCCCAACGTTCGGCACTTTTGCACTTTTGATCACGTGATTTCTCATTGCCATATTTGGTTTTGGGTCCCTAAATATGATATTTCGACAATCGTCACCTGTGCGAGAGAAAACGAATCAACCTGTTTTGACTTGGTAAAGAAGCGCATTAAAGAATGTTATCTCAATATCTTATTGCATGTAAACCTTACATAGTCTTCTCTGAGGGGGATTTTTTTATGTTATTCGCTCTGATCAGCAGGTAGCGTATAATTATTGTTCTTAAAATAATTTCGAAAACATAGAGGTGCGGTGAAGCTTAGAAAATTACCATGGGAATCATACTCACCAGTGCTACAAAAACATGGCGTGGAGATTATTCCAAGGAAAATAAATAGATTGCCGATGATAGCTTCGAGGTAAAACTTTAACTGCATCGCTATAAATTGATTCGAAAAGTACAAATTCATGGTTAAAATTATGTTCTCATCAAAGCCGTCCTAAGTCATTAAACATTCTGTTTGCGGTAAATTTGAATGTTAGTAAAGGTCATGCAGGTGTTCAGCTTTTATTTCTCAGCTATTTCTACTTAAAGCAACTCCTAATTATTACGATCTTACGAAAACGAAAACTTCATTTAGTTAGGTAATCGGAAGACTTTATTCTTCTGATCAGCTTTTATCAATTCCTCTCTTTAAATATATTCAATCATGGGTGGAACTTTTCGTGATTAAATATTCATCAAAGTAGTTGAAATAACCGCTGCAAAGGCAAATAATAATAAAAATGAAGGATCATAGAACTTTATTACAAGTCGTTCACACCTCGGTAAATTATCAATTTTCTACTCTGCTCTCCCAAATGATCTCTTGGTTAGTCGTAATAGTTTATAAAGGTTCGATGAAGACTGAAATCGCCGAACACATCGCACTTATGACATGAGATTCTTAAGCCTGCGTTGTTACTTGCGGCAACTGATTTGAGTGCATTTATTTGTACTCGCCAACGATTTGTCTTCACTGATGAAAATTTTAGATAAATATCAGAGGGACGGCCCAAAGTTTGCTTAAGTAGTTTTGTGGCTCTGCCTGTCACAGAGTTGCTACGCAGGCCAAATAAAGTTTTGCAGTTCATATGAAACAGACATGCTACCTATGAAATGTCTATGAAATGTCAAACTACGCCTGCAGTCAGCAAAACTGCTCAAAGAAATATTCATAAGCAGCTCAAATATATATTTCTTACCTTCAGACCAATAATATGCTTCTAGTATTTGATTCCGTGTTTGTTTCGTAACAGAAGTGAAAATCGTATATTGTTTACCTCTACTTAGGTTTTTGAAGTGTTGTAAGCATGGTTAGAAAACATAAGCGTTTGATTTTGCTTCTTCCTGTTCAGCTTTTCAAATTGTTTGTAGTCATCAGAACGTAGCTTTTATATTTAACCCTCAGGCTGACTGGTTTTATCTTGGTAAACCTGAGTATATTTGAAATACTTCAATAAGGTAGGGGGTTTATGAAAATAGAAGTAAATATCGTGTCTTGATAACCACTATACAGAAGTTTTCGAAGTGTTGTAACTATGGTTACAAAACAAAACGGTCTGTTTTTTTTCGCTGTTCAGCTGTTCAAATTGTTGACAGTCATCAGATCACAGCTTTCATCGTTAACCCTCAGACTGACTGGTTTTGTCTAACTAGTTATATCTTATTTTGAATCGGTAAAGGAGCACATCAAAGCACACTATCTTAATACCTTACTGCATAAAGATCTTACACAGTCCTCCCTGTACGCGATTTTCATTTCCTTGAATTTCAATCTAACTGGGAGGTTTTCACCACCTCAAAGTCGTCTTAGTGGGTGAGTTTACCAGTGAAAAGGAAAATTTAAGGAAAACTCGGCAATATTTTCTTGATATTAATTATGGCTTTTTCAACAAGGTGAAGAAACACGTTGGCTTACAGTCTGTAAATATACATAGGTAATTTATTGTTAACAACTAGAGCAATGGTTGCTCTGACGAAGGGCTAACGCTCGAAACTTCAGCTTTTTTACTCTTTAAAGTGGCCAACTTACGTTTTCAACCTAGCTGTTAACACTAAATTACCTGCTACACACTCCCACCGAAGCAGCAGCACAGTTTCTTTAGTAACTTACCCCCTTTATTCATTTGTAAATATACATGGCTTGTTTGGTGCCCATCGTAACTTGTCTCCTGCTTTCCCTAATAGGAGACATATTGAGTTAGATAAGGATTGTCTACTTATTAAAGGTTATTTGCTTCGATCGGCGGGTAAACGTTACATAGTTCGTGTAATGGTTTCGAAAAGAACGATGAAACAGAACAAATTTAAAAGCGGGAAATCAAACTCACCAGTGCAAGAGAAGTATGGGGGAAAAGTTGTTCCAAGAAAAATATAGAGATTGCTAAGGAAAAGCTTTCACGGCATCGCTGCAAATTAATAGCCATAAATTCAAGGTGAAAATTATGATCGTGGCCATATTAAAGTTGTTGGTGGCTCCAAGATAATAATTATCTCGATCTTTAGTGATAAACGGCATATAAGCCAGGTTATGAATATTTACGCTCAACATGAGAAATTAACAATTTTTTCAACAATGAGCTGTTCATAAAACAAAATCTGTGGTGAAATATAAGATTAATAAAATTTAAGAAATTTGACATGAATTGAAAGAATTGTAATTGATCTCTATATGGAAGTAATTTTGCAAAAAAACACTCCCCCTTCCTCCCTATTACAGTACTATCAGTGGAGAAATTACCGAATCAAGAGGATTGATTTGATGGTGTTAAAAAGAAAGGACTTAGAAAAGTGAACTTAGTTGCTGAGAAAATAAATCGCTGAGTTTTCATCGAGACGACAAGATATTTCACCTTTCCAATCCATGTGCTTTTAGGACAGCAAAAAGGAAAAAAATGTGAACAGACGTGTTGCTGAAGGTCGAGTGCTCGTGCCAAAACAACACGTTATTATTAAGATCCTTTTCATTGTCATCGATCAGTTAAACTCCTTTCAACGACACCTTTAGCCTTGTGCAAAAATGGACCGGAACAAATTATTTAATAATTTAACCCATCCGTGCTTGAAATGGGCTGTTTCGCGTCAAGGCTTGAAGAACGAGATTTGACGTCACTCGCGCTTGAATAAGTCAGCAAAAGTCCCAACCCTCTTGTTGAGAGGAATTTTTAACGAAATTATGTGACAATCAACCCGATTTTATAGTTGTAATGTTTGCTTACCGACCGAACTGCGAAATGAAAATGCGAAACGGATTTTCTTGAAGATGAATACATTCTTTTGAGCAAAGCACATTTTTTGCGTATGTTTGGGATGAATTTTAATTGGGGTGCAGTATGTAAGTAGGTGTAACGAGAAACGCCCTCATATAAAGGGACGTTAAGGGTCCCTTGTTAAGGGACGTTAGAGGTTGCAGTACTGTTTGTATCTGTACGCTTTCCTTCAGTTAAGTATATGTTCTCTGTGTTCTTCGAGATTTATTGTACGATCATTCATTCCGTCTTCTCTTCGTTTCGTCAGCATTTGAGATTAAGACTGTCGAGAATTTATCAGAACCGGTGTGTCCAAAAAAAATAGCGAGGCACTCATCACTGGTGTCTCCCATTGAGAGAAAGCATCCTCGTGAATTTTAAATGTTCAGCCAGCAATCATTAACATGTTCCCGGTTTTTATTCTTATTTTAAAATCGACAAGTAGTACTTCGTAGCCATTCTCATAAGTATGTTTCATAAGTGTAAAATTATATTCCTTTCAAGGTTATGTTTTCAACACAGAAGCATCCACTGCAAGCCAAAGTTTATACCGAGCCTGATGTGTTCCGGAATCGCATCTTTTCAAACATGTTCTTCTCGATCAAAATTTTGTTTGACAAGTGATTATAAAATATCACTTTGCAGCTATCCTCACTAGTGAAAGCGTTCAGGAGGTGTTCCAAAAGTCCAAACATTTCTCTCGCTTTTCAAAATAAACGCTAAATTAAAAAGTATAGTCGAATGTGCATTTGACTGATGTGGTACCTCGATTCTTTCGCACTTGAAACATAACATTCCTTTTACCTAAAGATGACGTCAATTACAATGCAATGCTGGCAACGTGCATGCAATTATATGGATGTTTTATTCCTTTGAGAGCTCGTCGATCAAATTCAAATTAGATGGACCGACATATCATATGACAAGGAAAGAGCTAAAATTATTATAAATCATCCTAAAGCTTATGAGACATCTTCAAATTGTTCCAAAAATGAACATTCCTCAGAAACGGTAACGAAGATGATAAATATGAATTCTGGGCCGTCTAAAATCCATTATGACTTGACAGGACATTTCTCCTATTTACCCTCTGGTTGCTTAAGATGCCAGGCATGTAATTTTTTGCATCTATTGCTTACTACTTATTTCAAAGGGCGGTTTCTCGTCGTTGTGTAATTTACTCGGTAACGTAAATTAAAAAATGTCGGTTAAGTCGTGATGTTGTGTACAAAAAATCATCAAGGAAACCGGAGCCGGTTCCTCATTGTCGGAAAAATTCTTAAAGACCACTCAATCGCGTGATGTTTACAGGCCCTTGGACTTTATAAATGAGGTGAGACTGAGATAAAGACAGGGAAACTTGAAATATATTTATTTTGAAAACATCAACACCATGGTGCACCTTGGATTTGTTGGTCATTAATTTCAAAACCAATTTTTTACGCGATTTGTTTTTCATTACATTCCGAGTATAAGGAAAGTAGATCATGACTACCTTTCACTATGGGACACGTTTAATTTTGTTCGGAACATAAAATCCTACCATCCCGAGAGCACCCAAACGTTCGGGCTATCTAAGTTAGGTTGACACTTATGGATACGGTAGACCTTGGCGGGTGTCCTTCGCAAAAGAAACATTTAACGCGCTATTTGAAGTATGACCACTATAAACTATAAATCAGTGGAAAGGTTATTAAATGTGCTATTCGGAAAAATTATGTCGTTTTAGCTTCATCTAATCGAAAACCGAATGAGGCGTGACAATTCGAAATGGACGATGTTTCTTTGAGCGAATGAATCGCATATCGAATCTGACCGCACAAATGACCTTCTGCACAATTTAAATCCTGAGGGGTTGGTCTTCATACCGTGTGGGGATTTTTTCAATATTCTTATCGGCTGCTTTGCAATTAGTCTGTCAAGTTTGCAAATCAAAATTTTGTCGATACGCAGTACGTCAGAAGCCATTGCGGAAGATCCATTTTGAAAAACGGAATCCCCAACACGGTTGGTATCTTGGGAGTCTTCTGACCAAATTTCGAGGCAATCCGTAATTTTTATATACCCTATTGACTCGTGCAAAGAAGACATATTCGCGTAAAAACGAAGTAGGCTTTTTTTCGCTATGAAAGTTTTCCCAACAATTTGCACCTTTGGGTGACTACATATCAAATTATGTCAACATTCTGAAAAACACGAAATGACGACCGCAGAAGCGTCCGGAAGAGTCTCTCAGCAAGAACATATTGTGCAGGTAGCTATCTATCAGTTACTGTGACAGACCTTTAGTTCAATTCTGAACTATTAGCTAGGATAACATCTTTGGTGCAAAGTATGCGTAAATGTGAGATTATTTAACCTTAGTCATTCATTTGCTAGTTTTTTAAATGTTAATTATCGAACATTGTAAAGTCCATCCGTAGGGAGCGAACTTGATTGCAATCCGTATGTTTCGTCGGTCAAGTGAATGTCATATTTGTCGTTGTTTATTTACTTTTTAAAGTTATTTTATTCTATCTGAATATATTTGAACTATTGAAATATGACTGCTCTTCCGAGGGCTTCAACGCGGAGTCCTCGGTGTGATGAAGTTTTATTTGTTTGAAATGGATCCTGATTCCTCGGGCTTCGATCTCAGAAAACTCATCGCATCTTGGAACAGATAATGACCGCAGACAAATATCCGTGTGTATTTTCGCGCGAAATAGAGGCTAGTCTTGATATAGTGGTGCAAGGTATTTGCATGAAAATCAGGTAAGTAAATTTATGCAAATAATATATGATACAGCAAATTTAATCATTACTAACAGAGGTCAAAATAATATTCACTTCTAGAAGAGAAACACAAATAAAATAACCGGCAAGCCTTCGCGTAAAAACATCGTGGCTTCATAATATGTTAAATTTTACCGTGGGAAAGATCACTATTGTTATGATAACGTAATAAATTGCACCTGTCGCAAAGTTAAATAAGTATTTCATTGGTGTTTATATAGTAAATAGAACATTACGTGGCCTCCCGGAGGTACAAGTTTTTCGAATGTTGAAAAATATTTCTCTAGTTAGCTGTATGGAACATTTTAATTATGCACCTCGAAATTAAATTTCAATTTCATATCTCCGTGCGGCCACGTAATATCCCTGATGGAGGTCATGAAAGACTGAAAGACTGTTTTGGTGTTTCGTCATAGTTATCAGTAAAAGAAATTAAAAACTGGAAATGTCCACTCTTCTACCGGTGTTCTTCAAAGACTGAAGTGAATCGTTCGTTCTCTGATGGGTATGTTGTGAAGAAATACGATAAACCCTACTTGGAAATTATTTACATCTTTCAGCTGGTATTTCCTTTGGCTCTTCTAATCTTTTTACGGAACGACGCCAGACAATTAAAACACAAGACATTTAAAAGAGAAATTATACTCACCTGTGCAACAGGAACGTGGTTGGAACATAAAACCAAATAAAACAAAGATAGGGAGATGCTTGAGCTTCATCGCTATAAATGAATTACGAATATAAACTTGCGAATCCAATTTCTTCTCGTCGAAAAATTTGCGATTTTGCTCTGACAAGATTATAGCTGAATAACCGTCAGCATTCTAACTAATCACGGAAAAAGGGGAAACGTAAGTTTTAAGAGGAGACAAAAATTTCCTTATTATGCGTTCCAACGCACTCAGTTTAACTTTCAGATCTCACAAACTAGTTTCTCGCAAATTGATCAAAATGGAACGCCCCTTGAAGCAGTGGCATCCAACATTCATGAACTTTTGTGTGAGTAACTGCTCTGTGTTAATACACACAACGAAGCTTTTCAGCCTACGGAACATAAGGTTTTGAAACCTCCAGCCAGGCAAGCTAACAAACAAAGTTTTGCAATTCGTACAAAAGAATCGGGAGTGCTTTCTTCTAAGACGTTAGTTGGCCTCACAAAGGCATTATCTGATTCCTTTTTAGGCAAGATTTCCTTACACTAAATTAAAGTACTAAATTATGCACACAGTTATTTGATAAAAGAAGAAAATAACGAAACCAATAGATTACTTTAAGGACTGAGGTTTTGTTTTTGAATGGTTGGGGTAATACAGAAACAAAAAGGATGAAGTTTCTAGAACTGAATTAAGAACGGGGTTTACTCTTCTGATATTGACTTTGAAAAAATGAAGGCTGTGTGATCGCTTAGTGTTCCGTTAAGTGAAAATACGAGTCAAAAATTTAAATAATCAAAACTTGTATAACCGAGTCAGGAGGAGCATAGGAGTCGTGATGGCTATAATGATACAAGCCACTGAGATTCAACAATAACTCTTGTAAATACCTAAGACCCACCTAAAATTTTATGGAGACAGGGTCTTTTCAGTCGCTGCCCCCAGGCAATAGAATGTCTCACCCATAGACCTTAAAATTGAGTCCATCAGTTTCTGTTTTTGAGAAAAGATTAAAGAAGCATTTTATTTAGAGCTACTTATCAGTAACTGTCAATTTTCAACCATGATGAGGAGCTTTTTTTAATGTACCGCTATACAGATTAAGCTATTATTATTCGAGACACTCGTTTTTTTGTGAAGTTAATACTTTATCATTATTGTGCCATAAACGTGACAGTTCAGAAATCCACTGGTCTTACTTTCATCTCGGTTCTCTTTAGAGAGTAATAATGTCCTTTCCAGTCTTTCCAGTTCACTCCATCAGCAAAGGAGGAATGACTTCCACGAAGATATAAACCATTAAGATTTGAGCGGTGACAATTCTTGTACCACCAGGCTCCTTTGAACTTAATGGCGCAGTTGAGACCTCCATGATTATCATTACCTTTATCATTATCTTGATCTCTAGTGGTGAATGGCATACCGCGATGTACAGCAAGAGAGTCACCAGAATTCCCTGAAAAAATGAGCCGCATTATGAGTACTACGTTTAACCAACAATGAGCCGTTCATAAGGCTGAACAAATGTTTAAATATCAAATAAGTATATCAATTTAACATTAATAATATGGATTAAAAGCATTCTTAGTAATGTCTGTGATTCATGTCGAAGGTTCAAGGGACTGAATTGCTCGATATGACAATGTCAATAAATATGTTTGCCGAGGCACTCATCAGAGTTGGATAAGTTCGTCAGGTTATCTGCGCATGATCCACTGACGAATACCTTTGGACTAAACAACATCCGGTATGCGCTGTCCAGGATTGCATATCGATGAACTGACGTTAGACGGAATGACAATTTACCTGAATAAGAACCAAGGATTAGCTTGTACTTATCATTTTCACTTTTGACACCAAACATCTTATACTCAGCATAGGTATGACTTCCTTCAAAGTCTTCCAAGTCTACACGCAGCACGTTGTTATTATCAGAGGTCAGGCGATGAATCTTGTCCAGTCCCAGCCAGAATTCACCGTTTAGATCTCCGAATCCGTGTTTATAGTCTATCCAATTGAGGTAGAAGTCAACCGAACCATCCAGTCTCTTCTGGAACACCGTCCACCCTCCACCAGCTGTTGTTAGGTCACAGAATACATCAAAGCCCGGCAGATTATCAGGTTTAATGGTATACATACCATCTCTTCTTTCCCCAGCATTGAAAATCTCAGCACAATTTTTCTTAAAAGCTGCAAAATGAATGAAAACATTGTCGGGTTTAATGCTATACACACAGTCTATGGTGACCCTGGTTTTCGCTGAAAGTGTGTTATATTAATCATGATTTGTCTCCTCAATATAAATGCAAAGAATGTAACTCGGGATTCTTTCTAGTTTTCAACTGTATTCAACTTTGCCTATTCTTCTAGATGAAAATGTAAATACAATATTTCTGGAGAGATGGAAATCAAAGAGAAAATTGTCGGGTTTAATGCCATCAGTCCCTCCGTCTGTCGTGATACTGATTTCTGTAAAACTTATAAATGTCGTGGCATGTCTACTAAATATGTTCTTAGATTCTTTCTACTTTCCAATTGTATTCAAATTTAACATTTCTTTTTAAAGTGAAGTGTTCAAGATTTGTAAAAACACACAGCTATTCTTTCTATCACCGTTAGTAGTTGTGTTTTGTTTTCTCTTTTGATAATGCCTTTATTTTAATTTCAAAATTCTTTTTACAGTCAAGTGTTCAAGATTTATAAAAATGATAGCTATTACTTTTATCACCGTTAGTGGCTGTGTTTTGATTCTTCCTTTAATAATGCCTTTGTTGATTTAATTTTTTCCGACGCAGAATCAATTTGTGTTGATACAAGCTCCAGAAACACTTTATTTGTCTAAGTAAACTAACTGTGTCTATTCGGAGTTTCAATATCATACGTTCTCTAATTTATCTTCAGTGGATAGTAGATTGTCCAAGGAGTCAAATTTGCTGAATTTCCAGATTCCCATATATGCTTTTGCGTATGATTTCAGAAGATATTTCTATTAACCGATTTTAAAACAGTTGGTTAGTCACCTTACTGTCAGTTGTTCGATCAACCCAAGAGACTTAGTGAAAGAAAACGCAAGTTGTTATACCTCGAAATTGGCAGTTCTCCCCTGTGAATCCATCACGACAAACACAACGAAAACCTTTATTGGTGAATCCAGCTTGACAGGTGCCATTGTTCAAACATGGGCTGCTGCTGCATGGATTCTGTTGGCAGAAACAAAGTAGCTTCGTGCACTTTACTCTTGCCAATGACTCATAACAACAACACTCTAAAATGAAAACATCTTATCTTCGTCTGTCTCCTAATATTTTCGTAAGAATGTGAAATGTTACCTCGACTGCAAGATGATTGTAACCTGGTTTATTAGTGAGAAGAAATGGAGCATGGTTTTCCCCCGTTGCGTTGTTCAACTCGCATTTTTGCTTTTCCCCGTCAAATGGACCAATATTGATGGACACACAACTAGGCTCCATATAACACATCACTCTGCAGCTCCCTTCATCAGTTACCATAACACTCTTGATCACGTGATTTTTTAACACCATGTCTGGTATTGGCTCCCTAAATATGATGTTTCGGCAATCATCACCTGGTGGAGGGAGGAGGACTAAACTAAATTGTTTATTCTGCAATCATTGAAACAAATTTCTGCCTTTTCACCAACACCCTATTTTAATACCTTACAACTCAATAGCATGAAAACCTTACAAAATTAATCATCACTCGAGAATCAAATGCTAACTGGTAGAGGTTCCTTATCGGAAAATTTATCCATGCGGCTGAGTTTATATAGGGATTATTTTCGTGCTGTAAATTGTAACAGTGAATCGTTCGTTCTAATCTATATTTTGTACTCTGATGCTTTGAAATTATTTACATCTCTAAGTTGGTATCCTTCTGCTCTTCTAATCTTTTTGTAGAAACGACGCTAGAAAATTAAAGCACCAGAAATTTAAAAGAGAAATTATAAATTATACTCACCAGTGCAACAGGAACATGATTGGAACATAATACCAAATAAAACAAAGAGAAGGAGATGCTTTAGCTTCATTGCTAGAAATGAATTATAAATATAAAACTTGTAGTCAAAATATGATCGTGATCATGTTGATAACTGTGATTCAAAAACTGTGGCAGGTCTTCAGTATTTATTCTTCGACTTTGTCTTCTTCTAAGGATATCTTAATGATCACCTTCTTTCATTGACAACTACTTTGTTCAGTTATCTGATTAGAAATATCGGCTGGTGGGCTTATTCCTTTCCTCGCTGAAAACATAGTCTTAGGTAGAGACTTATTCTTATCAAATATTCATCTATTAACTGCTACAAAAGGCGAAAAAAGAGAGAAATTAACCTATTGCTATATCAGATTTCAACTGTACTCCGGTACTTACTTGTACATGTTTTAATAAAATCTATCGATTCCATCTTATGGTCAGACAAAATTTTATGCAGTATGAGAGAAGACGAAAATATAACTCGTTGTACCTATTAAAAAGACTAAGTACATAAGAGTGTTTTCAGCATTTAACTTGAAGCAAAAATTTAAAAGCAGTTAATTGCACTTGGCAAAAACTTTTTGCCAAATAAAAACATGCCGAGTGATATAAATATCAAATACAATGCTCAATGTTGTTTGCTCGTTTTGTGGTGAAGTCTGCTTGTTTGTGATTGATAGTTTCGAAAGGGGAGATCTATATAAAAGACAAAACACTAGATTAAAATTCAAACAGAGTGATTGCGGAGGTTGAAATAAATAATATTGGTAATGTTAACACACATTTGCAAGTTAAACTCCTCAACACATAAAACAATTCCTTGCAGAAGATTCTAAACTTTAACGAGTGCACATAAAATGATCTTCTTTGAAACTGGAATTTGTGTTCAAAGGTATCATACGAAGGGTAAACATTGCTAACGGACGCTCTCACAGGTTGAAGGGAAATGAATTGAACTAAGTTTGAACGACAATGGAGCACGTCTATGGCAGCGAATCCATTTTCTTCTCGTCAAAAAATTTGCGATTTTGCTCAGACAAGATTACAACTGAATAAGTGTCAGCAGTCTAAATAACCCCTAAAAAAAAAAGGCAACGTAAGTTTTAATGAATAACGAAAATTTCCTTACCAAGCACTCCAGCGCACTCAGTTTAACTTTCAGATCTCACAAACGTGCTTCAAGCAAATCGATCCTGAAGGAACGCCCCTTGAAGCAGTGGCATCCAACATTCAAGAACTTTTGCGTGAGTAACTGCTCTGTGTTATTACACACAACGAAGCTCTCCAGCCTCCAGAACTTACGGTTTTTAAACCCCAAGCTGGGCAAGCTAAACAAAGTTTTGCGATTCGCACAAAAGAAACAGGAGTGCTTTCTTCTAAGACGTCAGTTGGCCTCAGAAAGGTATTATCTGATTTATTTTTCGGCAAGATTTCCTTACAAAGGTTTACTTAATTATGCACACAGTTATTTGATAAAAGAAGAAAATAACGAAACAAATAGATTACCTTTAGGACTGAGGTTTTGTTTTTTAATGGTTGGGGGTAGTACACAGAAACAAAAAAGAAAGAGTTTCTTGTGACTTTGGACAGAAGGTTGTAATAAACTTTTAAAGGGTCGTGAGGTTGGGATTTGAATACTTAAAAACAAATTTTGATCTTTCACTGTATTTTGTGGCTATACACGCACACAACGCGACACACGACATGCTTTGAGCGTCCAAAGTCACAGATATACTTATATTTATTTTTATAACAAAGGAGGACTCGTTGCAATATCACCGACAAATAAACATGCAAGAAAGTACACTTTGCGTGCAATAAAGAGTTCGCTTAGGGTATAATTTATCAAACTTCAGGCAGTGAGTCGGTTTTTTTGGTTGCACTAATAACGACTGAGAGAGATTAAAAATGTGAGAAAAAAACATATTAAATTGACATGAGCGTAAGACGAAGGAAGAGTTAAGGGGCTACGTCACGACTCGCACGTGCGTACTATGAATCAAGAAATTAAAGAAAAGAACGGGACGTTGACAGCCATTGTTAGTTTCAAACAATCCATCTGAATTGTGTCTGGATAAAAAAAGGCCTCTAATTCGAAGTAATTTCCTTGTATTGTATCTCTACTCCATGCCCGAGGTTTTTTATGGCGTAACATACCGTTCAAAATTCAGTTAGGATATTCCCCCCCATCGAAAAATCAATGTTCATGTCGGAAATCAATTAACAGGGTCCGTTACTGTTGGCCTCTTACTGACTTCGTCATTGTCTGTTATTTCCCGTGTTTGATATCATTTCCCATGCTTGTATTTACTAAGTGGATTTCGACTTAGTGCCGTACCCAATATTATTAATAATGGAGGGCCTATAATAACCAACATTAACATCACTAATCGGGTGTCCGATCGAGTTTGATTAATTCCTCAATTCCGAGTCGGATTATTCAGGGTTGACCCCGTCCCATACCTCCCACAGTACACGGTTGGCAAGGGGCAATAGTTCACTTAGCAGTTCACAAAAATGTTGGGCACCACTTCTTCTCAATTATTGAAGCAAGCACTGATTTGGAGGCTATGATTGTTAAGATAGGGTTATGACATCTTTACTCCTAGTATGCACATAGAATCTAGGCACTAGTTACGTTATACCTTTGTGTAGCAAACTCTTGAACTTTGTGTACCTGGCACACGCGGTTACACAAGCTGAGATATGAAAGCCGAAACACATCAAATGTACGAATATTGTATGCCTGTACTTTAGTTGTAAACAATTTTCGTATTTTTCACAAATCTAACTTTCCACGGCTCAATGACCGTCAAACTAAATATCATGCATTTGCTGTTGTTCAGCAAATGCATAATTTGACAGCACTATCTCAGGCACAGTCCATGAGAATGCTACATTTCGGTTATCATTCACTGTTTCCATCAGTGACCCCTTAAACTCCTCGAAGAGCGACTGGCTTCTACTTTCTCCTTACAGTATCACCCTTGGATCAAATGTAAAGGTCATGATAATAGTGAAAATGATCGCCAATTTGAGAGGCTCCTGATTGTCAAACAAATTCTCCTTGTCAGTACTATAGGAAATGGGATCCAAGGGAATGCAAAGAGAACAGGGTACAGAATATGACTGACAATCTGAGAGTGTAAAGACTAAACCACTCGATCAGCTCAAACTCAGCGAGGGATCAGTAACCACTCAACCAGAATTCCATGTATAGAGCCCATCTTGTATTTTAAAACAACAAGGTTATTGACATGTTATGGGCTCTCTTTCTTTTCTATTAATGGTTGCGTATTCAAAGTGATAAGTTGTCTTGCAAACAGAGCACAATTCAGCGGATATCAGGTAAAAATCTTGAATTTAAAACATGTAATTAAACATCTGATTAGTGAAAAAATCTTAACTAACAACTGCTGCTTTGAAATTTGCAAACAGAAAGCTTTTGAAACTTGATTGCTGCTGTTTCTGGTAGTCAATGTAACTGTCATAATTGGAATATTTCTGTACAATTGCATTGGTTTCATATTGAAAATGAATCTTACCATAAAAAAATTATATTTGAACTTGAAGAAAGAAGAATTGTTTATCAGGGACAATGGTCATGAAGTTTATGTTATCTTTCTTTTAAGTATGCTTTTTTTTCTCCTTTGTAAAAAACCCAAGAAGAATGAAAAGTTCACAGTAACGGGAAACAACCTCAATTTCTAATCTGTGTTGAAGTCATACAAATCAAACTAATAGAACAAATTTTGCAATGACATTCAGTAAGGTGAGGTGATGATAAACTAATTCCCTACAAATGAGATATAAAAACAATGCATTGTGACTTGATTTCAGTTCACTAAATATCACAGCCAAAATGTGACGGAGCAAGTCGTAATGCGACTCGCGCTTTCACATTTGTGTTGTGTAACTAGCCAAGGTCTATAAAAAGCTTCCTTTTTTCAAGTTTACTCTAGAGAAAAAAGCTTAAAAAAATATTTTCATGGAAATATATATATATATATATATATAAATGACAAGACGAAAAAAGCATCATTCTCTATTTCTTTACCGAGCTCAAAACCTACCATCTCTCTTATTTCTATGTACTGATACTAATAATTGGTCGAAAAGAAAATAAAACGGTGACATCGGCTTAGCCATAATATTTTATAAAGTTTCGGTGAAGACCCGATTAGAGATCACTATCTAATAAAAATAGCAAATAAATATGAGTATTTTTAGTCTTTTTAGCTTTTAAGTCATGCAATTGAAAGGCAGATAAATTGCAATTTTCAAAAACCTTTTTTTCTGAATGAAAACATGATTTTAATATCAAATTTTAAGAGACTGTGCAATGCTGTTTACTTCAGTAGTCACTTTGCGGCAAAGTCTGTTTATCTGTGTTGAATGGTTTCCATTGCTAAGATATATTCACGAGACAAAAAAAAAACATTACAATATATTTTGGTTGAAAGCTCGCGTGGGTTGAAAGGAATTGGTCATGTTCAGACGCATCAGTGTAAACTCTTCAAAAAATTTTAAATGAAACCTGTGCACATATATTGCAGGGATCTGTTCTCTTCTCTGCGCAATT